GTACTGGATATAATAATATTCGTCCTGCAGCCCATGGAAGAATAAGGACTCAGAATAACATGATAATAGCGCCTGGCTACTCTTTGAGTGAGTATTGCACCAAGCTCTATGCGAGACACCATGGGTACAGAAATGATCTAGCCGCAGATACTTCAAGGCCAGTCTAAGCAACACAGAGGCGCCACAAAACAAATACAAAAGCAATAAAAGAAGAGGGCTGGAGAGATTTCTCGGCTAGTGAAGGCACTGGCTGCCAAGCCTGACAGCCTGAACTCAGTCCCTATAACCTAGGAGATGGAAGGAAAGAGAAAACTAATGGCTTCAAGATGCCCTCTGACCTCCACAAGTGTGCTGTGGCACAACCCCCAACCCCCACACAAACTAAGCAGACAGAAATGGTCCATAGAGCACGTCCCTGCCCTGAAGAACATTGTTGTCTCTTAGCAAGACGTTGCCCAGAAAGTCCCTCCCTGACAGTCATGGGTCTGCATCCCCCAGGGTGTAGTGATCCTGGCACCCAGTCTCTGGCATGCAGCTGGGCATGGTGCCACCGATGTTTTTCCTTTCCTGCTTTCCCCTCTGGATGCCACTTGAAGTCTAACTTCAAACAGAATTAGGAAAAAACAAAACCTCTCCAAGAAGTTTCCTCCTCCAGAACCCTCCTCTCTCTAAATTTCTTCTATCTCTGTTTATTCATATTGCATCACTCGGTCTCACAGCCTCGCCCCACTTGCCTCATTTAGGGAGCTGTGAGATCCCTCCCTGCTCTCCTAAGGATACATTCTGGCCTCGCTCTTCCTAGAACCAGGCCCAGCCATACTCTCCTTGGCCAGTAAGGACTCTGGCTGCAGGAACATTCTATTGTTTTCCCCAGGGGCTGGCTGGGGAAATCGCTCAGTTCCTGTATAGTCAGCAGGGAAGGCAATCAGAAATTATCTGGGCACTGCTACACGCAGATGTGTCCCTAACCCAGAAGGGAAAACAAGCAGCTGCTGCTTCAGGAGCCAGCTGTGGCTGGGAGAGGGATCCTAGGAAGAGCAATGAGACCCTGGCACAAAACAGGCAGCCCCAAAGGGTTGCAGACAACATTCTGGAAGTGTGGGGCTGCTCCATCCAGGCTGGCCAGGGGGGCAACTGGTAGATGCCTTTCCCAGCCATAGCAGAGAGCTGCTAAGCCAAGTATTTCCACCCAGGTCCACACTAGCTGTTCAAGGAATTTCCAGATACATTGCTTGAGCCTAGATTATAAAAATAAAATAAAATAAACCCCCTCTAGAGGAATCCTGAGGCCTCCCTTGGTACTGTGCACCTCTAGGCTATGGGGGGGATGGAGGGAGGGAGGGAGGGAAGGAGGGAGGGAGAGGGAGAGAAGAGAAAGAGAGACACAGAAGGGAAGAAGAGAGAGGAGAGAGGGAGAGACAGGAGGGACAGAGGAGAGAGTAAGGGAAGGGGGAGGGAGGGAGGGAGGGGACAGGGAGGGAGGGAGAGAAGGAAGGGGAAAGAGAGAGAATAGAAGCCCCGTGGCCAATCCCAGGAGGTCTTAGTTCAGGCAGACTAAATTAGGTTTTGTGCTAGGGTTCTAAAGTCCAATCTAGTAAAGAAATCCATGGCCTGGTCAGATACAGAGGAAAGAGGCTGGCCCCTGAGCTACAGGAAACACTACAGTGACCTTTGGGGTTCAGATGCCTCCATAAACTTGCTCCCCTACAAGACCCCTCATCTCTGCAGGTGCTTTAATCCTCCCGCAGTATTTATGGTCAATGAAGAGTTAATCCTGCTCGGTACTGGAGAGATGGTTCACTGGTTAAGAGCACATACGCCTCTCTTCCAGAGGACCTAAGTTGTGTTCCCAGCACCTGTCAGGCAGCTGAAAACTACAGTTCCAGGGATCTGAAGCCCCCTTCTGGACTCCACGGGTACCTGCACGCCCCTGCACATACCCATGGACAAACATACATATATACACATGAGAATTTCAAGAAACAGTAACAAAAGTGAAGACAGAGTTACTTTTTCATGTTTCATGAGGAAATTCACAAAACCCTTGAATCTTCCATTAGCAAAATTTCAGGTGGCCAATAAAACACCCGTTGTACTGACACCAAGATGCTAAGAACTGGGGCAAATCAGTGAGCTCTCCGGCGCTCCAAGGGTAGGGTTTTGGTGCCAATATGGCATGAAAAGGCTGAGGGGGGGCCTGGCCCAGTAGAAACAGCGGGAGCTGGCCACAGCTGCCCCGCCCACTCGTGGGACCGTGCCCCTCCAATCCCCCTCTTGTACCTAAAAAAGTGCTTGTTATACGGTCCCTGTTCATATACATTAGCATGCTGAAGGAAGATGGTATTTCATGGGACTGAGCAGAAAACACACTTGTGTGTTGTAAACAGTGGCGGGGAAGCTTTGTAGCTCCCACACTTCTTGATTATGTCCCCCATGGGGCCAAGAAACTGCAAAGACAGCTTCGGGGCCATCTAAAGTCTGTAAATCAAAAACTAATCAGAAGCCAGCAGGAGAGGCCATGAATGAGATGGCAAATCCTTGAAGCGGATTTCATATCAGTTTGTGCCCAGTGCCTGGTGGCTTCCCAGGAAACTGAGACCCATCTTTCTCTCCAGGGGCTAAGGAGCCTCTTGACCTCATGGCCTTCACATCAACAAAACAACTCACAACAAACACTGGCAAGGTTATGGAGAAAGAGGACCTTTGCAGGAGGAGCTAACGGGCCCCCAGACTGATAGCTGGGAATCCATCATGGGACTGACTCAGACCCCCTGTATATGGGCCTCAGCCAGAAGGCCTGGGCAGTCTCAGACAGTGGGACCAGGATGTATCCCTGGTGCACAAAAGGACTTTGGGAACACATTTCCCATGGAGGGATACTCCCTTAACCTAGAGACAGGAGAGAAGGCCTAGTCCCTACTCCAAAAGACTTGACAGGTTTAGATGACCCCTCCTGGAGGGCATCACCCTGCATGTGGAGTGGGAGGGTGGGATGGGAGGGAGGGTGGTCGGGGTGCATCTGAGGGTGGGAGAGAGGGAAAGAGGGAGGGAGAGGGAACTGGGATAGAAATGTAAAAAAAATAAAAATAAAAAAATAAAATAATATAAAAAATAGAAACACACACACACACACACACACACACTAGGACTCTGCATCCACAGATGGTGGGGATGCAAGCTGGTGCATTCATTCTGGAAACCAGTATGGGGAATCCTCAAAACAACTAAAATTGAATGTACCACGTGACCCAGCTATGCCATCACCTAGCATTCGTCCAAAGAGCAACCCTACTCCTCATGGGATTTGCAGGTAAATGGATGGAACTAGCAAAGATTATATTGAGTGAGACAGAAAGACAAACACGTGTTCTCTCGACAGTTCCTATCTCCAAGTCCTCAGAAATAAGTGTAGCTATCATCCCTCACCAAGGAAGCCTTTTTACAGCAAATAGAGACCATCACAGAAAACTACAACTGGACAGAATGCAAAAATCAACATATGAACGGGTGGCAGAAGACCAACCCCAAGACATGTACACATCTATATCAGAGTTCCTGTGTCTACGGCTGGCTCAGAGAACATTCCTGAAAGGGGTGTGGAGAGATTGCAACAGCCTGTCAATTTGAGAGGGTCATGGGAGAGATTCAAGGGATGATATCTGGGAGGGGCTGAAGGGGGATGTAAATCTATTTCAATGAAAAACATTTAAGATTGAAAGAAAGGAGAGAGGAAGGAAGAAAGGATGGGAGGGAGGGAGGGAGGGAGGGAGGGAAGGAGGGAGGGAGGGGGGAAACCCAGCCGGCTGCCAGGCTGAGTTGAGGGATCTGTGCCTACAGATTTTTCCCGTGCTAGGCTCCCAGCACGGAACTGAATGGTGTGGGGAAAGTTAACTCTCTCCCCCTCTAGGAAGGACATTCACTCACCTGGATTCTCCTCTTTATGCTATGTTGCCCTGGGCAAGCATGCTTACTTCTCTAGGCTTCCATTTTCTCCCCAGGAAAATCTGGACCCTACACTTTTTTAGCCGAATTCTAATGTAACCCTGTAAACCCATAAATAAATGAACCGGGTGGGTGGCGGTCAATCAAGTTACCCAGAAACCATGAAGACTTTCCTCTGAGCCCACATTCCATGTTCGGGCAGCAGCTTTATTTCCTGTGCTTCAAAACTGAGCACTTGACAAAGACGTTTTGAATCCCAGAATCGGTAACTTCCTGGCTGCGATCTTCGCCTGGTTCAGCTGCGGTTGGTGGTTGAACTGCGAGATTGTTTGGAAAAATTCTCATGCAGGGTCCAGAGAGCAGTGGACAGCCAGCAGGTCCTGCTGAGGGAGTAGAGATCAGGGAGCAGAAACGGGAGATGTGCGGGCCCAAGGGCTGATCCATGTTTTCTTTGAGCTCCCAAACGCTCCCAGCCGCCTGCCCAGACTCTCCCAGGAAAGGGGACTGGGAATCTCCCCAGGATAGAGTGTTGGTGAAGACACATTATCCAGAACCATCCAAACTGCCATACATCTGCGACCTCCACCCTCTCAGCCCCGTTCTCAGGACCAAGGGCCTCTCCTCCGACCTGGACTGGGAGCACCTGTTCTCACCAGTGCGATTCCCTCCCGTCCGACCCAACCTACTACGCAGGCATATCATCCAGAAGGTTGGCGCGGCGCGCCTGTGCGGTGTCTTGGAAGCAATCCCATGGCTCACCAAATGTATATTGTTTAATCCTTTTCTGTTGGCGTTTTCTTTCCCTTCTTCCACTTAGCGAGCTGTGTGAGTCCAGAGAAGCAGATGAGGCAAACTGAGGTGTCCCCAGTTTGCACTATGATTCAGGTTCCAAGTGACCCAGCCACTTTTCTGCCCGGGCATTACACGTTGAACCCGAGGTCCTAACGGAATGGTAAGTGGTATATGTAACCCACTGGGTGGCGCGCTTGACTCTCGTCTGTAGCGTGTCACTTCACCAGTGATGCCTTTTCGCTTCAAAATTCCCAGCTCAGGCTGGGAACCGGCTACTTGCTGTCGAAATGGGCAAGTTCATGAAACCCGGGAAAGTGGTGCTGGTCCTGGCTGGACGCTACTCCCGACGCAAAGCCGTCATCGTGAAGAACATTGACGATGGCACCTCAGACCACCCTTACAGCCATGCCCTGGTGGCTGGAATTGACCACTATCCCCGAAAAGTGACAGCTGCCATGGACAAGAAGAAAATCGCCAAGCGATCAAAGATCAAGTCTTTTGTGAAAGTTTATAACTACAACCACCTCATGCGATCTGGGGGCGATCCCCAATACAGGGCTAACGGGAGAGGGGACAGATTGAGGAAAGAGAAGGCAGGCGGTGGAAGAAACAGATTCCTGGAATGAGTCTGTGCAGGGGAGAGAGGATGGGTTGAGGGGCAAGGCTGAAGCCGGAAGGAATGTTTGAATTCTTTGGGACTGGAGAGAAGGGCTACCAGCTGAGTTGAAGTTTCTAAAGAATTGGGTGGAGTCAGAATTCACAGTACCAAGTACCGGGGCCTTGGATGCCATGCGGGGCGCCTTCCTCTGAAGATGAAGGACAAAAGGCAGAACAGGACCGAGATATGTTAGGGTGGGGGCTTTTTAATAAACTGGGAGATGAGGAGAGGGACTTTTCCTATGGCTTTTATTTTGGCACTGAGGCAGGAGACCACATCAAATGCCAAGGCTTCGGGCAAAGCTGAAGGGACTTGACAACGCATATGTCAAAAACTGCTCGGAGAGGCAGCTGTTAAATTTCCAAGAATCTGAAGAACAAGTTGTTAAACACAGCTATTGAAAATCAAATTAGAATAGCTCCACACAAACATCCCCAGCTCCTTTGTGAAGATGAGAAGCAGATATGGTAGAAATGAGAGCAAGTCACACATGACAACCAGACTGGGCAAGACTCCTCTCCTGGGGCTTCAGCCTGAGCTAGCCCACTGAAGCTGCAGGCAAAGGAATTCAGCAGCAGGAAAGAGGAGTCAGGTGGCTCTGTTCCACACAATAGACCAGCCAGCAATCATTGATTTTCTGGGCTAGGCTAAAGTTTGGTAATTGTCCCTTGGTCATGGGCATGGTTTCAAAAGATGTTTTTCCTTCTTCTGGGTAAACATTCTGACCTTGAGGTTTGTGGGCTAATGGACAGTGACTTAACCCACTAACTGCTGAAATTGCTCCTATTGCTAGGAATCAATGTCTGGCAGGAAAGTTCCAGCTTGTGCCTTGCTCTAGATAGACCTAAACACAAGGACAGGTAGGGTGGAAGAAAGATTCCAGCTCCAGCAGGCAACAGGTTTTGTTGTTATGGTTTTGGATTAACCATTTCTCAAATATTCAACGCTAGAGCTCAGTGGAACCTGATTCCTGGGGGTGAGGACAACAAAGGCAACAGACACAATATGAAGGCAGAGATGGCAAATACTTTAGTCTCCCATCAGATGCCCGTGGGTTTAAGCAAAGAGTCGGTGTTTTTAGATAAAGCAGGCTTCAAGTTGCTGCTAAGTAACCAAGGCAACTGTTATCAGAACCCACACATCAGAGGTTTCTTCTCTGGCAAGCTCTTGGGAAGCTAATGATGCATTGCTCGGCTGTGACCTCCAAAATTAGTGATTTTTAAGTCAACCAAGAGCAAATGCTGTGATCTTGCGTTGATAGATGAGCCCACATCTGAGCTGGCTTTGGGGGCTTACCAAGGGCGTTGGATGGGATAGCGTTCGTCCTCAGTAACGTGTCCCCTTTGTCTCTGTCACTTGGATGCCCATCTCAAAGGCCACCGGTTTTAGCTTAGTCCAGTCACAAAGGCTCCTTGTCTGTAAACATTCTGGCTTTGTGACCATTTAATCTGGTGTTTTATGATGAAGCAGTCCAAGGCAAACTTTTAATAGGTAACAGGTCAAGAGCACAGAGTCTATCTGCCTTTTGGACCCTGCTTCCTGTCTCAATGGTTTAAAATAGTTGAATGAAAAGACAGCTTTTTCTGCAAATGGTGCAGCACTTGGACCCCACCAAAACTGAAAACTTCTGCCCTTGAAAGGCTTGGTGAGAATGAGGATACAGTTATTATACATCTGACAAAGGACTAGTTTACCAGAGTTGATGAGGAACCCATAAAATCTAACAGTGGATAAATAAATTAGTTAGAAAAAGGGCAAAAGGCATGAACTGATTTAGACAGCACATGGCACACAGGAAATACTCAACATCACTGATATCACAATGACATGCAGTAGCCAAATTGAAATAAAACATAACGAGAACACCAAATACCAGGGAGGATGCAGAAAAACTGGCTCACTCATACACATGGCCATTAAAAAAGCAAATGGCACAGTCGCTTTGCACAAGAGTGTCTCCGACCCAGCAACTGCACTCTTAAGACATTAGTGTCCAAAAGAGTGAAAGTGAATGCTCTGCAAAAACCTATACTTCCATGTTCAGGGGCTCTTTATTTGTAAGTCAAAAGCTAGAAATGACTCAATGTCCTCTGACTGGTTGACCCCTAAGTGACCTGTGGCCTTAACCTAATTCTTACCTTAGAACACTGTTCAACAAGAACAAGTTGGTAGAGGCACCTACTTGATGATAAAAAACAAAAGGAAACAAAAAAAACAATCCCAAAAGATCACAGGTCGTGAGATTTTTTTTTGTTCATCTAACATTACTGAACCAGCATGATTAAGGAAATGGAGAACAAGTCAGGGGCAGGGGGAGGCACACCCTTAAAACCAGCACTCCGGAGGCTTAGGCAGGTGGGTCTCTGAATCCCTGTGGTGACAAGTTCTGAATCTTGCCTGTGTCAGAGTCAACGTCCGGTTGTGATTATAGTTCTGCCTGATGTCACCATGGAGGAAAGCTATGCAAAGACATAAGGTATCTCTTTGCATTATTGCCTCCCACTGTGCTCTGGAACTGCCTGCAACTCACTAAGTCTAATCGAGGCTGACTTTAAACTCACAGCAATCCCAAGTGCTGCTGGGTTTGTAGCTACGAGCCACTACTCCTCCTCTTTGTATTATATCTTACAACTCCAGGTGAATTACCTCAAAATTAATTAACGATATAATTAAATGGGGGACCTGCGCCATAGAATCCATGGAAGTCACATGAATCGACACATTGTGAGGAGGGCCATACTCTGACAAACACAGATGATGACAGATGAAACAGGAGCTGAGTAAAGTGGGTAGAGTACGTCAATGTTAGGCTCCTGGATGCGATTGGTGCCATAAGACACACCCTTGGCTAAAGAACATGAGACCTCTCTGTGTTCTTCTATTTTTAATTTTAATTTTATGTGCATGAATGTTTGGCCTGCATGTGTATCTGTGCATCTTATATGTACAGTGCCCTCAGAGGCCAGAAGAAGGCAGCAGATCCTCTGGAACTGGAGTTATAAATGGTAGTGGGTTGCATATGGGTGCCTGGAATGGGATCCAGGTCTGGTCCTCTGGAAGAGCAGTCAGGTCCTCCTGCCTGCTAAGCCACCCATCCACCCCTTCAGCTTCTGTGTTATTTCTTAGTTATATGTGAGTATATTAATATCACAAAATTTAAATATCAAAATTACAAAAAAAGGTATTTTTTAAAAATGAACACTAAAAGCTGTTTAAGTTGCTTCACTGCAACAATGATATTAATCTGTATTAGCCTGCCAATGTCATGTTGGTAGCTTAAAACAGACCACAATGGGAGTATTTACACCACAAGAAAGGGCAAACACTATGTACTGGGATATTCACTTTGTCTCCTTCTGTGGCACTGACCACGCCCATTGTGGGGTGGAGCCAGGGGCGGAAGTGACCAGGGGAACTAGGTCGGAGGAGGCATGGGAGAGCGCTCTCTTGCCAGCTGCAGGGGCACAGGAGGACTTCCAGAGAAATTCTTGGAAGCAGGAACCTGTTGGTGTTCACCTGTCTATGTTGTGAGTTATTTCTCCCTGAATAAACATCTGTTCGGCCTAATTGTTCATCCTGATCCTTATTAAACCGCGATAACACTACAAATCTATACTTTCTCCAGAGACCGCTGTTAACGTATCTACCAGTGGACCATGGGCCAGCCCACTGGCCAGAGTCTGGAGGAGGCAGAGTTCTCTTTGAGGACAGAAAGAACTGCAGTGAGATTAACTAGACACTGCCCATAGTCTGGTTGGGTGGCAATCACAACCCTATGGGAACCTAGCCTGCCCTGTTTATCACCGTGTACCTTTTGGGGAAGAGCTTCAGGCCCTGGTCACCTACAGCAACTTCTTTCTTTCTCTCCCTTTATAGTTGGCTCTGTAAATTCCACTGACTGCTTCAGGGAAATGGCAGGTGCCCTCCTGAGAGTCTGTCTGTGAACCTGTAATTTCCCTCCTCCTCAAAGATGTTTCCCAACCCCGAGTTACCAACACTCTAAGCAGGGCATCTCCTGGGGCTACACGTGTCACATGCTGTATGGTCACACACTTTCACTAAAGGGCCAAACCTTTGACCCTTCCCCTTCTGCCTGAGAACCAACCTGACTGTAAGCATGAGGTAGTGCTACTCATCAATTCCCCCACAACCTCCAAAAGCAGACACCCACACTGCCTTGTGGGTCTGAATTCTCTTTGTGCATTGTCGTCTGTCCGTGGTGGTAATGATTCTTCTAAGAGATCTCTTACCCCCAAATTAAGATAAGTAAATAAAAAAATAAGTGACTGTCTTATCCAAAGGGGCAATCTGCCTGAGTGTCTCCCCTCAATCCCACAATCTGAGATATTAAAGGGGTTGAAGCAGAGTCTCACATAGCCCAGGCTACCCTCAAGGTCACTAGACAGCTGAGGATGATCTTGAACTCCTGATCTTCCTGTCTTCACTTCCCAAGTTCTGGGATTACAAGTGTACAGCACTGGCCTGCTGCACCTCAAGGAAAGTTTATAGCTGTCCTTGTTGAGGCTGAAAACCACCCAGGTGCCTGGGATGAAAGGCCAATGGGGAGGAGGAGTTTGGGGCATCCAGGACATGACAGCTAGTGCTTGGTGCTAGCCTGTGGAATCTGAGTTGAGAGAGGCATGGAGGCAGCAAGGATGAGGGCTGAGGACAGATAGCACAGTGGTGCTCGCAGGCAGAGACCCCAAGGAACCTTGGCATCATGGGTGCTGAGCAAATGCGTATTCTCTAGGAAATTGGCAGCATGGCCCCGGGAATGTGCAGAAGGCAGAGATGAGGATGGGTTGTAGAAGACAAACCCTAAGGGTAAGGTTAGAGACATCATTCAGGGTCCAGGATCCTCTCGGCTTATTGCCAGAGAGCCTGATGCCTCCTCGGGTTGAGGCAGGACTTGGGGGAGAAGAAACACTGAAAAGGGGGGAAAAGAGAGAGAATGGGCCAAAAAGAGAA